TTTACTTTTCATCTCCCACCTTTTACCGTTTTTACATCAGCACTCGGTGACCCTATTCTTAACCAGCTATTAAAGCTATCTGAGCATGTGTTTCCTAAATTGAGATATTAAAGTTTCCCCCCCCCCCCCCCCCACCCCCACCAACCAAATTTTTATTCGATAATTATGATATTGGAAATGGGATGTGCGATAGACTTACCTGCACATGGTGCACCCTGGGCAACGTATACACATACGGCAAAAAAGTCTATTAACCGGCAGTTGACTTCTGACTTCAAACTACCATCACCCCAAGGAACGTCATATTCGACCCCTTTCACAGTACTCATCTAGCCTTTTCTCTCCCTTTGAGTCGGTCTGTCTCTTATACATCTGTGAATAGCTCTTTTTTCCCCTGACGAATTTTTCTCACTTTAATGTTCCTCCTTTTTGTGAAGCCCGATGTCAGCTAAAGGGCTTATGATAACTGTGGGACACGACATCGCATGTCCAGCCTTGTGGGACACGTCATCGCATGCCTGCACGCCAGGACTGGGAGATGCGACCGTACAAACAGTGACCAATCATCAACCTCCTTGGGAGGTGCGACCGTACAAACAGTGACCAATCCTTAACATCTGTTTGTTTAACCTAACCCCAATCCTGATATGATTGAGCTCCATGCGTGTACACTTGATCCGCAATATACGTCCTGAATAAATGTGCTCCTTGCTACACGTCTGTCTCCTTCCTACTGAATAAATGTTCCGTGCTACACGTCTGTATCCTCTGTAGAATAAACGTGCTCCGTGCTAAACATCTGTTTCCTTTATATGCAATATACGTACCGAATAAACGCATTTCGTGCTACACGTCAGTTTCCCTTATAGCTGGACTATAGCTTAGCTTGTTCTGGGAGTCTAGCTAGATGTTGGAGAATTCTCCGTGCTACTCGTCTGTTTCCTTTATAGCTGGGCTATGGTTTAGCTGGTTCTGGGAGTCTAGCTAGATGTAGGAGAATCTCCCTGGTTCTGGGAGTCTAGCTAGACGTTGGAGAATCTGCCGTTCTGGGAGTCTAGCTAGATGTAGGAGAATCTGCCACAGATATAAACGCGCTCCGTGCTACACGTCTGTTTTCTTTATAGCTGAGCTATAGCTTAGCTGTTCTCTAGCTAGAGGTTGGAGAATCTGCCATAGAGATTTCTGATTCCTAGCTAGATGTTGGAGAATCTGCCATAGAAATTTCTGAGCCGGTAGCTAGATGTTTGAGAATCTGCCATGGAGATTTCTGAGTCGGTCTAGATGTAGGAGAATCTGCCAAAGAGATTTCTGAGTCAGGAGAATCTGTCATAGAGATTTCTGAGTCAGTCAGGCTTTACCAGCGTAGCAATCCGCTACATAACTATCGAAATGCCTGCCATTTGAAACAAAATTGCGAATAGTGCAACTCCTCCACCTCATAATTGAAACCGCTGTTTTGATTTATAATATTTATAAAATTATATTCGAAATCTTATATTTAATATTATTATTACTATTAACTTATTTGCTATCGAATGCTAAATAAAGACTTCAGAAATAATTAAAAATTAAGTAAAGGCAATTAATGATATTTTTCAAAGACTGGAAATCGAAATTCTGCTATAAATATTCGGCTAATTATATACCAAAAAAGTTCACATTCAAGTGTAAATAGGTGTTTATTTAAAGACAACAGCCGTAAATACTAGAATTGGTTGTAATTCGCAGAAAATGTGAAGCTGACTAACATTTGACTATGTTATTGAAGGTTTATTTTAGAATTCCAGGTGAAAATTCAAGTTAATTTAGTGAATAAAGGTGAGAAAGAATCCACAGAAATTAGGATTCACATCAAATCGAGAAGTGCAGGAGAAATTCGAAAGAAAATTCTCATAATTAGGGTCGCTCTTTCTTGTAGGATGTTAATTTATAACAGAAATAAATTCCTAATTCAAGAAATTGCACACTATGGGAATATTGTAGATGACTGTGGAAATTAATTAGGCTCGCGTTTCTACGTCTCTTGCAGACGTATTAAGTTTCATTAAAAAAAAAGGATTGGAAGTTTTCATTGGAGAAGCGTTTAAGATATTATGATAAATAAATTGTCCATAGATAGATGATTTCCAAATTCTTTTGGTATGGATTTACGCAAGGCCAACAAATGAGTTTCCAGATTAAAATTGCTTTGAAACTTTGTGTCAATTAGTGATTTATTTTCCCAGTAGGATAAGAAAGTCACCAGATAATGAGTTACCAATAGTGGGGAAAGTGTCGCCTTAATGAGAAGTGACAGGAGAGGAGAGAACGATAGGGAGAGGGGGCTATAAAATCAATAATAATCGATGATAATCGAGGTGCTGCAGATAGGAGTTAGTAGAAGGAAAATAAGAGGAAATCAGATGGAGGTGCCAGCTATAGGAGTTGGTGATAAAAGTTGTGCATGGAGTCGATCGCCCATTCAAGAAAACAGGAGTGATTGAGTTTATTTTGTAGGACAGTTAAAAGACAGGGGAAAATGTAGCAGGTCATGGTGGATAAGTTCATGGAAATTATGAAAGTAAGAAGGGAGAGGAGCGTCTAATAGCCTTTGACATCTCTATTGGAGCATGATAAGCCCTTCAAAGTATGCACTAGGTAAACAACCTCACAAAAGATTGTAGCCTCAGCAACTAACCAACTATCTCAAATCGGACATCTTAAAAGCAGTCAATCATGTAGAAGTATGTAATTAGCAATTAATTGTTAACATTAGAGTATCAAGTTTTAAGGTTTCATCCGGTCAACTGACCCAAACAACTTTGTTAACGTAATGGCACACTTTGAGTTAACTCCATTTTATTTGCAAACAGGGTTCTTCCTTTAATGTCTATTTTATTTTGAACTTGCATTCTATGCACTAGAATTCCTTTTCTGGGTTGTTTGGGCCGTCTGGGTAGAAGCCTCGTTGTGTCAATATTTACATGTATTTAATTCTGACCTGTAGCGAACAGTGACGAATCGCTGAAGGGCATCACTTCACTGCTAAGAATGGTAAGGCTTAGGCTTAGACTCTGTCAAAGTAAGATAGTGAAGACTAAGATATTACCTCCCCCCCCCCCCCCCCAACTCTTACAAAGTGAATGCAGATACTGCAAGATAGGAATACATAGAAGTCGGTGAAAGAACATTTTATTTGAAAAGATCAAAAACAGCGACTTGATGACTGATAAAATGAAAGCTGTGGTTCTTAAGGAGAAACGTCATTCACATAATCAATTTTGACTAATCGGGGAAATACACAACTTGCCACAAGGGCAAATAGATACAAAAAAAGTTTATTGATGTTCAATAAGATAATATTGTTTTTGAACTATTTATGGTTTGCAATTTTTTAAAAGGCTTCAACATGTTTAAAAGAAATACGGGAAGTGCGAGGATAAACGACCATCTCACGACTTATAAAGTAAGCGGTATCGAATGTCGAAGATGGATGCCGCATATTTTAATGAGAAATATCATATGCAATGATTTTCTATTAACATCTGAAAAACAGAAATTCTCAGCTTGTTGACTGAATGATCAAATAAACATTAAACTCAATTAGTTCATAGCATAGTTACAGGTACATCGTGACTAATCTTTCAAAACGATTCCAATAAGTAGGAGAGCACCACTTAGTCAAATTAACAGTAATTATTGCAAAAGATCGGGTAAAAGCACGATAATTAGCTGACCAACAATTGACATTTGAATAGTATTGCCTGGGCCGATCATAGTGGATGACCAAATAGATGAAGTTGCTGATATTGCCTGATCAGCACTGAGATGGTTGGAAGTCATTAGCATCTCTTTAGGTATTCATGTTCGAGCGCACGTTTTGAGCTGGATCGACTGTGGATACTGCTAGTACGATCTAACTACCTGTTAGTCACTTTTATCGTTAGATGTTGATGAACAACTGATATCACTACCAAATATGATTTTAATAGGAATGTACACATGGAATATAATTAATATGTCTTGGTAACATAGAATACTTTTATAATTGTTTGGTTAACCAGAATGCTCTCCTATAAGGTCATTAAAGCGTCTGTGAAGAAACCATCACGCCTGTCAATCACCACGAGAAGACAGTGTTAAATGTGGGATACGTCATCACATGCACGCACGCCTTTACTAGGGCGTGTAGCCGTGCGACTCCCTGCGCAAACAACCGTACAACCAGCGGTTAATCAGAAGCCTCCGTGTGCTTAAGCTAATTCTGCATGCTCACTTGTGTGAATAGACATGCTCTTAGTTTTACGGGTATTTCTTCTGCCTTTTGTGGTAACATAGGTGATTTCAGGAGATATACCCAATAAGAGATTTCTGAGTTTGTCAAGGCCCTACTAGTGTAGTAATCAGCTATAAAATCATTCATTATTTTAATAGTAATTTAGATAGCTTTACGAGGTGCTCAAATAAAGGGATTCAAGATTGATTTCTAGTTGGGGCGCCAATCTACACTGAATAACATCTAGCGAATGTTAGAAATGAATAAGATCGAATGAAATATTGAGTGACTCAGAAGATTTTGTAAAAATTTGAACAGAGCCAACCAGACAAAAAAGCATATGCTAAAATATAGTACTAATAAGGTTATGCTAAATCCTTCATCTTACATTCAGAATGACTTCCATTATTTAATAAAAATACCAAAATCAATAAAAATTTTCATATGTTTTTTTGCATTAAATAAATAAAGTACTTAAAATGCCGTTTCAAGTTTCTTAAACAACTGAAATGCAACTGAATTTAGCAAAAGTATAATCACATTTTTCTTAGCGAAAGTTAAATATTGAAACTCAGCACCGAAAATCCTGAAACTAAATTTTCCTGCAATGAACTCGAGAACAAAGTAAAACAACAGCAAGGCCATTTGGAGGCGGATGGTTTTGTTGGGCTATATAATTGTAGCTTCTCACGTTTCTAGTGTTTCATTAGTCTCTTCATTATTTTGCCTTCTGAACTTATAAGTTATGATGGAGTCTAACATTCAGCTTCAAGCCGATCTTGATCGTATATTTTCTCAATCTCCTAAATTGAACCTCTCTTCAGATGATACTAAACAACATTTTTCTGATTTACGGAAACGTTCTACAACTATGACATATACAATGTCATGTGATCCGGATGTCGTCCGAATTACTTCCTCGGACAATTGTGTTAACTACTTTAAATCTGCATTAGATTACATCATGGAAGAATTGCCATATTTATTATCTAAACGCTTTGAAGTTCACTTTTTTCATAACTTTAAGTCTCTGTGTGTGGCCTTATGGAATTTCACAGATAAAAGTTGTGACCTTTGCAATCGTTTTGTTTTAGCTGATGCTCATAGATCGCTTTGGAAATTGCTATCCAGTTCAGAAATATCTTCTAGTTTCTCTCTTTATAACGGTGCCATATTACTAGCCCTCTGCGCACTTGGAATTCTCCACAATATTCTCCAATACTGTCCTCGAGCTCGTGACGACTATCGAGATTGGGAAGGTATAGAGATCTTAGAGCCTTATGTTGCTGATGCTTCTGCATCAAAGGAATGTAGCAAACATCTGATCTCCCTCAAAACTGCTGCCCTGTTCACACTAGCTGCTATCGTTAATGAAAATGAAAACGTTCCCGCTATTACTGCCGACCAGGGTGTTCTTAATTATATCCTGAATACATTAAATGACTCTTTACAATCTCCTCCTGATTACTACTCTGCAACTTATGGTTTTCATGCGGCAGAAGTTTTCGTATGTCTCGGTTGTTTAGCAAGACTAGAATCTAATAAAAAAAGCCTTGTTGATAAAAATGCGCTTGACTACATTTCGACCGCTTTGCAGATATCACTTCGCGTTAAAAATGGTTTTAGCAATGCGGCTTCGAAGTCTGCTACCACATCCAGACATAGCTATCGGTTTTCTGAGGATACTCTGGCAAAAGAGGCCATGGATTTACTCTGGTTTTTAAGCTGCTTACCAGAAGCTCGTGAACGACTTAAAGAGACCTCAGATCTCTACAAACTCTGTGTTCAATTCAATGACACACGGTTCACCGCGGAATGTCGGAAATCGGTACAAGCCCTATTTTGCATCCTCTCGCAACACTTGAGCCTTTTTGATGAGTCGGGAAAATTGAGTGCTTGTGCCATAACCACCTCTCCTAAACCGCGTGGACACGTTATGATCAGCTATAACAATAAGTCTCAGCATATAGTCTCAAAGTTGAAACAGGCTCTTGTACTGAGAGGATGGAATGTATGGATTTATAAAGAACATTGTCGTAAGTTTCACTAATGTTCAGCTCATTGGAATGTATTCCTAAAATACTAACTTGTTTCCGTTTGTTTTACGTATTGAGAGTATTGAGAGAGTTTTGAAATGTCTGTCTCTCCTTTTCTACCTAATATTAAATCGCCAGTAGTAGTCACCACGATAACACGTTTACTTGTCTATAAGGATCAATTATAACGATATTGTACTGACTTCATCGATACTATACTGTGTTAGATAGCATCAACTAAAGTGCGTATTAATACTCCGTTGCAATGCTTTTTTCCCAATTCCTGAACCTTATGTTCTTAGCTATTGATATTTGAGGATGTAAGTTCGGCTGCAACCCATTTGGAAGACCGTCTAGTGGAAAATTGTTAATTTCACAAGAAGCGACTCACATTTTAGTACGCTTGTTCCATAGTAATTATTGCAAACTTCTTTGCTGGGATTGAGGTTTGTGTTAGATTTGTGGGCGGAAGAGGTAATTGCATAGGCAAATCAGCGAGTGTGAACCTGAATCTTTTTCTTCAGAAGGGTAATAGATTTTGATTTTTGCATCATAGAGAGAGGCAATTATGAAAGATTTTAATTGAAGTAACGGCTGAATCACTAAGTATCCCTCTCAATTTGACAAAAGGTGTGATGTACCATTGGCATCTATTTTTAAAAATTATCTAGATCCTTTTAAAGAATAGTTAAGACAGTACTGAAAATATATTTTAAAAAATAACTTTCATTACTCAACTAAACTGGAAGGAGTTCGTTGCTTTTATTTATCTTTTGTTATAAAGATGGCTAAATGATTCTCTAACTGGCTTAGCTAAATTTGTATCCCCATCAGCCTTATTGTTCCCCATTGAGGTCAAAGTTCTCTGTGCCTTTAATTAGCCGTATTAATTGACTTAAGTCAAAAACAACTTTGAAGACATCGGTCTTGAACCTACTGATCTCTCTTTTAGGCTAGTTTCGAACCGCATGATGTTCTTAGCTGGTGTTCGGTTTTCGAATACGAAGATTCGATTCCTGTATCATATACCGATACGAAAGTGAGGAGGTAGAGTTTCCCAACTTTCTAAGATTCGTAGTTCCCATCTTTGGAGTTACAAAGCTGTTAGTTTACATGACCTAAGACTCAAATGGAGCACTTCAATCAACTCAATGATTGTGTCAGCTTTTATTCCTCTCCATCTTCATTAGAAAAAAAGTGTGCCTTTTGTAAAATTGTTGTTATTTAACTTGCGTTCCTACTGTAGCTGCTAATTGGACTTGTATAGGCCTTCTGTGGCTTGAGATACAAGGGTAATAGTTTTACATTGTTTGCTAGTTTGAAACTGGTATTCGTTATTGGACTTGTTTCTCAATCGATGCCTACATTTACCTTGAATAGAACACGGATCCTTCCTGCAACAGATGGCCCAAGCCGTGTTTGATGCAGCAGCAATGATACTATGTTTGAGCTCCGAGTACAACGCGTCCTGTCATTGCGTAAAGGAAGTGATATCTGGCTACGATAACCGCATCCCTCAGGTTCCGGTTATTTTGGAACCGGACTACACTGCAATCAATTATATCCGATTCGTCATAACTGGTGTTCAACGCGTTAAACTCTACAATGACTCCCAAGTGGAAGATGCTGCCGATAAGCTAACGGAGCAACTCCGTCACTATGGTGTGATACGAGAGGGTACGAACCTCAATCAGACTCGGCCTCCTCCTACAACTCTATCTGTCAGAAACCCTCCACCCTCACTTTCCATTAGTTCCTCCAAACGTCATCAAAGATCTCACTCGGATTGTCTCGGCGGTACGTTCGTTAAATGTCCACCACCTAGGTCGGATCAGACCTCTATATCAACAGGTAATATCTTCGTGATGCCACTTATTAATGGTGCTCAATTCTACTAGCATGTATTATTTGACTTTTTATCATGTTTAGAGGCGTCAGCATCCTTGACACCACTTGCTCAAAACCCTGCCAAGGACTTCCATTGCTCATCTCGTCAACTTAAAGGTAGCTCTTGTAAGCTATCGGCATTAGAATCAATTTTAGCGCAATAATTTTACAAATACGCATTTTTTGAGGCTGGATATTAGGTTTTTTCCCTGTGCTTTCATTGTGCTGGTGATTTAGTTATTCTTGCAATAGAATTTCACTTTAAGTTTAACTCTTCCTGTAGATTTTATTTTCCTTTAATCAAACATTTTCATTTTCATGAAAGGGGATTATGATTTCTCAAATGTAACATGAATATTTGTTAAGGATGGTGTTAGAGTATTTAGGACGCTTCACGATTTTGTTTCTCGCCAAATTGATTTCTTTATTTCCACAAATGATATTTCAGCGTCTAATCGCATCAGCCCATCCAATTAATTAGAGACGATGCTTCGTGGTCAACATCTGGAGGAATATTTGCGTTAGTAGAATTTGTTTTTTCTGTATTTTTTTTCAGATGGGCTTTTTCCTGCAGCACTATTAATGTGCTTTGGGGTCTGTTTTCCTCTCGGCTTTATTCCTCGTTCTGTTAACCCGAAGAATAATTGAAAACACCTTTTCTAATCTCAAAATCGAGTTAATTACGTGTTAATTTAATTAATTTTTAAGAACAGGAACATGGGTGCAACAAAGGTTGAGTAACATCTTGTTTTTTTAATCCCTGTTGTATTAAGCTTTCTGTTTCATACCTTTTAGAGGGGGGAGGGGAAATAGATCAGAATTTATATTTCTGTTAAGGCAATAATCTGACAATTTGGCACTTTTTTAAATGTAGATGTTTTAAAATCTTTATAGAGTTAATTTTCAATTATTCATGGAAGATTTATGGCCTCTCTGACCTTTAAATTCGCTGGAAGCATGATCCGAACGAAGTTAACTGTCATAGCTCTAAATTCCCATGGGATTCACTTTCATCCCCTTGTAATTGTTTTTACAATTTGATCGACATCAGTAATGCGAGTATTTAAAAAATGCAAGCCTAGGTAACTGCTTGTGGGTCATATCAGCATCGTACCACAATAACCAGGTGAGTCATTAAACGACTTTTCTAATTAATTAGTTTTGTTCTGTTGTTTATCCATTGCTAGTTCTGCTTGTGGTGAGAATGTCTGAATACGAATTTTCTCTCAGAAACATTTGGGTATCTACACCACAATGAAGTTAATTTTTTATAACCTTTTTGAGTAATTTAGTTAAAGCCGTAAATCCCATTAGTATCTCTTTCTCTGCTCCTATTCAAATGATTACTTGTCCCAACTTATTAAAGTGGTGCAGACATTTTGTTTTCAAACTGCAAATCATTTTCTTATAAATGAAATTTCACCTTCTACTCCCCTATTAAATCCATTTAGTTCATCCCATTATTTATTTATCTTTTTTATTTCCACGGTTTTAAAACGTTGCACCCAAATTGAATATTTGCTGTTTTAAAATTGGGATTTTAACTTATTTTAAATTTCAAGTTGGTATGCCTTCTTTAATTTTAGACAAGTTGGCGTAATATCGAACTTCTGTCACAATTGTTTTTTGCCCAGCAAGAGAAAATAGAAAGACCTATGATTTAACTATTTAACCTTACGGTCCTCGTTCAAAATAAATTCTATTTTAGCACAAGGTTCGTAACAGATGGTGCTATTGCCGTTTGAAATATGTTTAGTACGTGCCTACAGCCTTTGCCTATTACCACTAAAACCAATCACGTTGGCATCAGCCTGCTGTGAGACACGCTTGAGTGCGGTTGGGTACGTTTTTCAAAAAAATAATTCGGGCGTTAAAAGACAATGTACTTTCATTATTATGTAACTTGGAGTATATAGAGAAAATCTAACATCACAGTTACTCAGCCATGTGGCAGTAATGAGATTACATTGGCATTATTGTGAAACCAATAATTGATAAGCCAGCGCAGGAAAACCGACGTTTATTCAAGTGCACAGAAAATGTGGCACCTGTCATTGTCAATATTATTAAATTCCCTGAGAATAATTTTTGCCCCTTATATAAAAATTTAACAAATATTCACTTATGTAGTCTTATCGGTTTCCCATTCATATATTTAACCCTGTCTATCTCTTGGAGGGTCTTCAAATTTTTTAGTAACTTTAGCTGCTCAAATACAACTCCTTTTTTCTCTCCAAATAAAGCATATTCAAGGCTATAACTGTACACGGGGACTTTAAAAAGAATCGTTTCTCTTAAAACACATACTACTTGATGGTTGGGCTTTTGGCTAAGTACTTGCTTACTTAAATAAGGGCCTGATATGTTTTTTCCAATGCCCTTTAAAATGATCACGCACAATATGGGTATGGTATATTGAGCTTTTCAGTACCTAGTTGGAGTTGGAAAAGTTAACAAGAACAATCACGAGAATAGGACATGTTTGCCATTATTGAGCAATTGGCACGATATTTTTTATAGTCACGTGCATTTCACTTCGCGTCAGGTACTTAACTCCCCTGTTGAGATTCCTTTTCACATCTTGAGCACTCACTGCGTCATCAATCGAGTTGAGAATGCTTCGAAAGTGCCAATTAAACTGATTTTAATCCAGTTATTTTTTCAGCCTCTCATTAATTTAGGCGTTATTTATTTTGCAGTTCAATATCGCGTGTTGTTGACCGATTCTTCTCTCTTCATCCCCCATCTGCCAACCCTTCTAAAAGTTCCCTTCTTTTAAGGGAATTTTTGTCGGGGCATCTCGTTAAAGCGTTTTCGGAACTACTATGAAGTTGCATAATTACGATAGAGGTCAAGTTGGTGTTTTGTTCAACTTCTCTGTCGTCCGTAACTTATTGAGGTTCAAGTAGCTATGCCACAATTTTGGGTATTGCTGGTACTTGTAGCTTGCACTAAAAGTGCCAGAAAGTGGAGGTCAATGGGCATTCATCGGTCGCTGTATTGAAGAGTGTGTCGTAGTTTAGTGATTTTTTCAACGAGATCAGAGAGTGTGACAACTACTTTTTTCCTGTTAGCTTTGTTTCTACTACTCTTTCGCATATTCACCTTCCAAGGCATCTGCATTGTTCATTATGATGCCATTTCAGCTTATGACTTTCTATTCCATCTCCTCGCCGCATATCATGCAAAATCTTCAATTGAAATGACTTAGGTGAAAGTCGCAGATATATTCTAAACCAGTAAAGTTCTTATCGGTTCATCCCCCCCCCCCTCCTCCACTTCACTCCACCCTATACACTATCACGTACTCGCTTTGTTTTCATTCCTTAATATTTTTTGATAGTTGGTGCTATTCGTATATCAGAAGTCTCTCAACGTGAAATTTCATAAACATTAAATTAAAATAACTAAGAATTTTACTTTGTGTTCGTATTTCCATTGATAGATAATATAATCTCTGATCACTAAAGGAGTACTAACCAACGAAGAGACATTTAAAGGATCTATTGGGAAAAAAGAGCTTTTTGCAATTCTTAATTGTGAAAGAGATCTAAAGCCAGGGATCAATGAAACGGTCCAGTAAGAAGACAGTTGAAAGGATCAAGTGGGAGAATGTGAAGTCGAGTCATTACATGGGTCCTCCTCAATTTGCCCCTATGATTCAAGTTCTACGCTTTCTACTTCCTGCAACTAGTTCCCTACTTTCTGTTCTGGAATTTCAATGTCCAAATTCAATTATGGTGAACTCTATTAATTCCGAGTGTTGCGACTAAGATTGGCATGATACTTGTTTCTCAGTAATCTCTAGCCTATCTTCTGAGCTCTTCAGTAGACAGATCTGTCAGTAACAGCGCTTTCAATTTAAAAAAAAATAATTAATATGAAAGAGATGTAACTTTCTAAGTTATTCTTTCTCCAATTTTGAAGAATTTTAGTAATTTCGTAAGTGTTCTTGTGGCTTGAGTTAGATAGAAATTCCAAAACTGGCCGACTATTCATTTAAACCACTCTTGATGAAATACTGTCCAATTGTAGAAGTACTCAAGTGGTTAAATTATCTTGCTTATTTTCTTTACATTAGTAGCTCATCCTCCACCAAATCTGGAACGATTAGTAATCGGTTCTTCAGGAGTGAGCCCACGATCGCAACGTTGCGACGGAGCTCCAGGAGGTGCCTACTTCTTCAATTCCACATCGCAAATCGACACAGCTTCTTGTAGCTCTGCAGTGACTGGTGTAATGGGTTCTGCAATCATTCAACTTCCCTCGGCCTTTGAGTCCTACCTTGTGGAACAGGTTCCTTCAAAAGCCGTGCGATCGTGGCAAGAGGAGCAAGTTCGAGCGTGGTTGACTGAGTACTCGCTTGAACACTACGCTCATGCCTTCGCCCATATCACTGGCATTCAGCTATATGAGCTCGCATGGCAACGAATTCGTGGATGTGATTCCTTCTTCCGCAATCTCGCCTTTACCCTTCATATGCCTCTGTATGAGCAGCTACTTCTCTCGAGTGCTCTTGCAAATCTGCACAACTACCCTGATCCTTCTTCGTCTTGCACTTCATCTCCTCCTTCCTAATTCAGTTCTCTCTTCTTGGTCCTATCTATCTCCCCTTCGCCTCTCTCTTTCCTTGATTTAATTGTTTTGACCTTGACTTTGATCTTTTATGCCCTGATTTTCCATTATGTCTTGAGAGGTTGTGTAAATTCATTATAAAAACACGATTAAGATATGATAAACATAGCTTTGTTGGGGGGGGGGGGGGCTGACACGAATTCATGCCAGAGTAAAACTAATAAAATTAGTCTTATTGACCTGAGGGTTTCCTTTTGAAGTATCCGTAAACCATGCGGCATTTATTGACATATAATTGAGTCCAGGTGAAATTAAGTTCGGCATTGGAAATGTTCATGTGGATATTGTTCAGCTCTTCTTTCATTATGGATGACGTCTCATTTTACATTGGTTGGGTTCTAATTAATAGATTCCCTGTCACGTGAGCCGAGAGGGGGCGTTTTCAGCTTTATTATTTGAAAAAACAGTGCCAAGGATGTTCTCTCATCGAGTTTCCGCATTTCTACCCACTCACCATCGATTTTGTGATCTGCTCAATTTTATCCCTGATCGCCATTATTGACTTTTCATTCCTACAGTCCCAACCTACGTACTACAAGCACTCATGATAGAGGAGTATCTCCCATCCCCCCAGGAACCACACTCTTTTACTTCTCGGTCTCAACTAATGTTTCAATGTTTCTCATAGGTTGAATCAATATGGCAACCAATTCCCTGCTGGTGTAGTAACATTAGACCATATTTACGGCTATAAGAGTGAGATCAAACCACTTTGAATGAAGCAGTTGGTGTCAAAATCTTTTGCTACATCTTCTGAAGTCTTTTACATCTGCACACTTCTTTTCTGTTTCCCGCCATTAATTCACATCATTTCTTTCGTTTTCTTGCACATGTATATTTTGCTCAGGAGTGTGTCCTAGTGCATGCGAAATTATGTCATTAAATGAGGCAAATTGCTCTTACTGGTATGTTTTTCATTATTGTGAGAGGCTGACTTTGCCAATTTCTCAAATTTCCAGGTTGTTTGCTCGTCTTCTTTTTTTATTATTCAACTAATGCGGAGTCATGTGAACAGTTATATGCCTATTGCACATATCCTTTGCATTTATTACTTTATATTATTATCTTTGGGGTGTGATAGACTTACCTCCACGTGGTGCACCCTGGGCAACGTGTACTCACACGGGAAAACAGTCTATTAACCGACAGTTGACTACAGACTACCGTTATCCCACTGTGCGTCATATTCGACCACTTCTACAGTACTCACCTTACCCTTTCCTCTCTACCTTTGTGTCTGTATCTTTTACGTCTATTAATCATTATTCCGTCTTGTGTCTGTCTCTAACATCTGCAAATCATTAATCCCTCCACTGTCTCTGGTCTGTATCTTTTACGTCTATTAATCATTATTCCGTCCCCCCTCTCGACTTTTTGTCACTTTGATATTCCTTCTCCTCTCTGTTAATCCCGAAGTCAACCAAAGGGCTAATGATAATTATCAAAACGCCTGCCATTTGATATAAATAAATATTATCATCTATTTGCTATACACAAGCTACAAATCTAATTGATTTAGGGTCAGCTAACGACTCTGGCACGCAAAAAATTTGAACTGTGAAAGTAATCAATCTTTTAAACTGAATCAATGGTGGCTAAGTTTTCCTTTTTTGAATCTGAAAAGCTTAGTTGAATACTAAGTTAATGACGCATATGTTTCACACCTTCGAACTCATAAACTGATGCTTAAGGGAGTCACCTGTCAATAGCCTTCAAAACTTATCTCAATCGAAATGAGTGTTACGAATATTTCAATTCCTTTTGGATTTCAAGAAAAAGAATAAATCTAAAACAATTTGGGCCATATTAAAAAGGTGTTTTCAAAATCGAAATCTCACAATTTCGCTTTCTCATCTCTCTCTGTTGATGAGCTATTCTGAAAGATATACAACGACCTATCATTTTGATCTTGAGGCCTTAATAAAAATCTGTTTGTAATTGAGCATACATTTACTCTACTTGGTAAGAGTGAAACTTCTGATGATGCCAGATGAACATTTTCGTTGTGAGAGTAGTGTTTATTAGATGTACACTTGTTTTAAACAAGACAGGCATTGGACTGAGCAAAATTCAAAAATAGCCATGACGACCGCTGTACACAAAGTGAAATCACAAAAATAGAGACCCAACCATCGCGTCTTTGTCCTAATTTTGTGTAATTGAATTAAAGCATAATAGATGGGGGGTGGCCAATTAAAGTATCAAAATAAATTGAATTGTTTACATAAACAATATGATTGCCGATACTCTTGGGTGAGACATTTATAAACAGTGGAAATAGATGGAGAAATTACTTAAATAAATAGATATAACACTTTGTCACCATCCGCTACGTCTCAAAATAGAGAGTAGAGTTTAATGATATCCTTCTTACTACTTTACCACTAAGTGTTAGAAGTAAAGCAGCGCAGTCATTAAGTCCATTTCAAATATCTAAAGCGACGTGCACCAAGTAGAATGAAATCGATAAGGAAACTAGTAGCGCAGATTACAAATGTAGGAAAAGGGCTCTATTGATCGAAATACTCAGCTAATGAATAAACAGGGCTGATTTAGGAGGATGGATTGATGATGATTGAAAAAGGACAAAACTGCAGGGAGGTGAAGGGGATTTAAAACTTTTGTTTAGCCTAGACCTTAATGATCGATTTCCCTTAAATTTTCAAGCCGCATGACTGAGATCCTGTATCAAAAGGAAGTGGTGATCATTACTGGAGGAGGAAAAATCGAGTTTCACTTGTTCTGAAAATTATTCATAAAATTTCGTAAAATAAGTTCGACCTGCTGGCACTGGACTTCAATGCCATGTTTGAGAATGCAATCGTCACTAAATCGGATGCCTTTTAAATGTTTTGACTGCCAACTGAGGTACAAGTACTCCACTTTTTTCCCATTCGGCGTAAATACTTAGACTAATCAAAATTGCCTTATAAGATTAAATTAAAGTATTGATTACACATAAAGTTCTTTAAATAGCGATAAATTTATAAACAGTTCGAATTTTATTGAGTGCAACAACATGAGATTAAAGTTTATAAAATTATTTGTGGTAGTGGTTGGCTTTGGAATTGTCGCATGTAATATTCCTAATGCAACTCTCTAGACTTTGTAGCGGATTGCTACCTTAGTGTCTCGAACATGTAGCGGATTGCTACCTTCGTAAAGCCTTGGTTAAAGACTTGTAGCGGATTGCTACCTTAGTAAAGCCAGACCGGTTGAGAATTGTAACGGATTGCTACCTTAGTAAAGCCTGACCGGATTGCATTGTAGCGGATTGCTACGCTAGTAAAGCCTGACCGAAATCTCTATGGCAGATTCTCCAACACCTAGCTAGACTCCCAGAACAGCTAAGCTATAGCTCCACGGATTGCTACGCTAGTAAAGCCTGACTGACTCAGAAATATTGCTACTCTAGTAAAGCCTGACTAACTCAGAAATCTCTGGCTACGCTAGTAAAGCCTGACTGACTCAGAAATCTCAATGGGAGATCCTCCTACATCTAGCTAGACTCCCAGAACCAGCTAAACACCTTAGTAAAGCCTGACTGACTCAGAAATCTCGATGGCAAGATTTCCAACATCTAGCTAGACTCCCAGAACAAGCTAAGCTATAGCCTAGCTATAAGGGAAACTCATCTAGCTAGACTCCCAGAACCAACTAAGCTATAGCCCACATCTAGCTAGACTCCCAGAACCAGCTAAGCTATACCCCAGCTACAGCTAGACTCCCAGACACTAGCTAAGCTATAGCCCAGCTATAAAGAAAACAGACGTATAATTCAGCTAAGCTATAGCCCAGCTATAAAGGAAACAGACGTGTTGCTATAGCCCAGCTATAAAGGAAACAGACGTGTAGCACGGGGCGCCCAGCTATAAAGGAAACAGACGTGTAGCACGGAGTACGCAAGGAAACAGACGTGTAGCACGGAGCACGCTTATTCAGTAACTATATTGTGGATAAAGTGTACACGTAGGGGCCTTAATCATGATCAGGATGGCTGATTAGGTTAAACAAACA